ACTGTCAAAAGAATGAACAAATCTCTCTTGGAAGAAGTACAGCCCGAATGCTCCTTAGAAGAAAGGATGGCGAGTCTTGGTCTCACTTGCTTTGCACATGTTATGAGGAGGAACAAATCCCTGTAAAAGGACATCATGCTTGGTATAACAGAGGGTCAGTGAAAAAGAGGAACACCCTCAATGAGATGGAGTGACGCAGTGGCTGTAACAACAGGCTCAAACACAGCAATGATTGTGAGGATGGGGCAGGCCCGGGCAGTGTTTCATTATGTTGTACAGAGGGTCGTTATGAGTTGGAGCTGACTTGATGGCACCTAACAACACCAACAACATAAGTATATTATCTAGACTTGTGGACATAACCACCAGAAGAATTAAAACCTGAAATAGGTAAAAAGAGGTTTCAAGTACAAGATACCCCTTCATAAAACATAGCTGTGAGGAGAAGAGAGAGACAGTGAGTTACTGAAGGGAAGGTGTGGCTCAGCTGGATTTTTTTCTTAAGAGAGACTTCAGCATGTTTTAAACGCCGATTGGAAGAGTTAAAAAGCAAGGGAAAATTTGGGAAGAATTAAAAAGCAAGGAAGAGCTTGAAAGACAGATGAAAGGCAGGGGATTAGCCTCCAGTACATTTCCCTGAGAGGGTCTGAGGGGATGGGATCCAGAAGCAAAGGAGAAATCAGACAGGAAGAGGGACGCCCCCTTCACTGTGCGTGAAAAGAGGAAGAGGAAGCTGACAGGACAGGAAGTGGGAGGAATTAATTTAAGATTTCAGAAGAGGGGCTGTTCTGATAGGATGTGTGTCTAAGGCTCTGTATTATTTTATTTTCAAATTTTGTCTATTTGCCCAGCCTCGGCAGGAGCTCTCCTTGCTATTGCCACCTGCCTCTCCCATCCCTGGCCTCCCAGTGAGCTTTAGCCACCTGTGCTGCCTTCAAAACTCCCATGTCTCCACATACAAAGATCTGTTTTCACCCGATCTTCTCCGTTGTCTTGAGGAAAGCAAACCAGGGTGAGATGAGGAAAGGGAGGTTCTGAGGGAGGAAGTGGCTTGTGGGAATCATATGACATTCACTGAGGTCAAAGCAGT